TTACAGAAAACGTTTGACCTCTGTCATTGCCAACAAAGGGTATATAACAAAGTATTGAGATTAACTTTTGTGATTGACCAAATACTTATTTTCCACCATAATTTGCAAATAAATTCTTTAAAAATCAGACAATGTGATTTTATGGATTTTATTTTTATTTTTTTCTCATTTTGTCTCTCATAGTTGAGGTATACCTAGGATGAAAATTACAGGCCTCTCTCATCTTTTTAAGTTGGAGGACTTGCACAATTGGTGGCTGACTAAATACTTTTTGGCCCCACTGTAAATGTTAATGCATGTTACAGTAAAGTTTGCAACGCTCAAAACAAAGCTAAACAAACCAACACCATTAGCATTCATAGCATTAGCTTAATGAAAGGGTGTGACAGCAACAGCTAACCATAGCTATATCTAAACTCCCTAACTCTTTATTACAAGATTCTTCCTAAGGCAACTAATTAATGGACTTTAACAATCCGAAATTGTAAGTTATTCAGTTTTCACATGAACAAGGTAGCAGTTTAATGACAAAAAGTACATAACTGCTAACAAATACTAGCTATCATAGCAAAGCAACATTAGCTATAACTGCCATCTCAGGCCAGACACCATGGAGGTTTGAATAATTTTAAAGCAAAATAACTTGTTCCAACCCTAACTATGGGACATAAAAAAATTGCTGCGCATGTTTCAACATTGATTTAGTTCCATAACTGTAATATGACTTCTGCCCCTCAGATCGCAAGTTCCTCATCGCCAATGCCCAGATGAAGAACTGTGGCATCATCTACTGCAATGAAGGCTTCTGCCAGATGTTTGGTTTTGCCAGGGCGGAGATCATGCAGCAGCCCTGTACCTGCCAGTTCTTGGTGGGGCCCGGCACCATGAAGAGTGCCCTCGCCCAGCTGGCTCAGGCCCTGCTCGGCTCCGAAGAGCACAAGGTGGAGATCCTCTACTATGATAAGGAAGGTAAAACACTGGAGGAAAGGCAGAGTTGCAACCTCAGATACCTGGGGTCACAGTCCAAATAATCATCTACAGTATGTTTTGCTATCCATCTTCTGACAACAACCAAGCTTTTAAATCCCGAATATTAATGAAAAAAAGTGAAAAATGATTGTATCCACCAGATTATTTGTAACTGTGCTAACTCGCTTTTGTGAGAACATGCAGTTGTTTTCTGTTTAGGAAAGCCAAATTAGAGATGAAACACAGTTCACAGTTCAAAATCAGTGAAAAGTTTGATAATCAGGCTTTAAATCATAGAGTGTGTGTGCTCTCAGCACAGTAGCTTCCCCAGCAAAACCACGTTATGTTTTTTTTCTTTGTTCCGAACCTCCAGTATTTATTTATACATTTGTTTGTATAACCCTAATCCCTACTCTACTCCCTTTTCAATATCGGTCCCATGCTTTTCTTTTCATATTTTCCACCTGTATTTTCTACAGTGCAACACTTGGGATTTAGAAGAACATCTTTGTGCAAACTAAAATGTAGTTGTAATAGTTTGGAAAACAAGAAGGAATGAAAAGTGTAGAGATGGGGATATTATATTTGTAAGAAATAACAGAGCAAGAACGACATTTAAACTTGTCAATCGTGGTATTTTATTGAACGCTCCTTCCTCTCAAAGCTTAATTTCCCTTAGACTCTCTGACTTAATCTAAATGCTTTTGTCAGTTGCAGACTGAACCTGTGCTCAGGTCTGCATTTTGCCCTATCGATCTCTTTCACCTCCTTTTTCACCTTGTTATCTGTCACCAAACACATGATAGGGGCAAGCAAACACACCAGGCTCAGGAAGATTACTGTCATCCACCATAAACACAAGTACATTTACTGTTTACCTACACAGATACACACACATGTTGCAACTTTGGACATGTGGGCATGGGCAGTCTATGGCACTGTTGTCATGGAAATGCGATCAGCATGCAAGCTTAAATCCACTAAGCATTTAGGCAGTTGTTTTTTCTCATGCTCACTGCTGTGCTTACAGACTGAAGAAGCAGAAAAAATGGATACAATGTGATTCGGCTGCATTCACTACCCGGCTGATTTTTTTCCAGAATAGAAATTTCTTTGAGAGTATTTTTTAGATTGGATGTGTGAAAGGGACTGAATACAGGCACTTGATTACCCTGAAATCGTTTTTTAAATTGCGATTAAAATACGTGTGTGTGTGTGTGTGTGTGTGTGTGTGTGTGTGTGTGTGTGTGTGTGTGTGTGTGTGTGTGTGTGTCCTTCCTTCCTCCCCCCGTTACTTTTTTTTAGACCACTGATTGCAGAGTGAAGCGAGACCTGACATGTGTTGGTCCTGTAGCCTTTTAGCTTTCAGTGTTTCAAATCTGTGTCCCTCCTATTTCCCATTCAAATCATTCATTGTGAATGTCTCTGCCTCCCCCCCACCTCACCTCTCTGTAATATGCTATCTTGTTGGGGAGCTACCTGATCTGTGTGGGGGTATAGCTCAGTGGTAGAGCATTTGACTGCAGATCAAGAGGTCCCCGGTTCAAATCCGGATGCCCCCTGTTTTTAGTTTTTTTTTAAGTCTATTTCCATCTCTTTCTATGTCAAAAGGTACCTGCAGACCATGCCTGGTGGACATTGTGCCCGTAAAAAATGAGGAAGGAATTGTCATCATGTTTATTCTCGACTTCCAGGAGCTGATTGATCCATCTCTCAAAAAGTCAGGCCTCAGGAACAGAGTCACCCAAGGACTGATTTACTGTAAAGTCTTTAACATATTTTATACCATATTAATGTTGCAACAGCTCACATGAATGACTGTAGGGATGATCATGTTTTGCTCCAGTGATTCACAATAATGAATATGTGTCATGTTATCATATTGATCAGTGTTGACATCTTTATTATTGCTGTATCCAAACCATTAGTTCTCTGTCATAAACATACTGCATTAACATCTGATTTAATACAAAATAAATACATATAACATAACACAGGTTTTTCCTTTCAGGTCAGAATCGCAGGATGAAGATGAGGCTGCCGATGCTCCGGTCAAGGCGACGACCTTCACTTTCCAAAGATCAATTTGAAGGAGTGGTAGTGGACTACTTGCAGGTGAGGTTGTGTCCACCCACTTACAGCACACTCAAAGATAATGCAATCCTCTAATACTTAGTGACTGTAGCTAATATCTACAAACAGTACTAATACATATCTGCTTTGCATTGCAGTGACTAAATCTTTGAATTCACTTACAAAACATTAGGCTTTCGTGAAGAGCATAAACCTAAAAGCAGTCTGCTCTAATTACATTTTTTTATAACCTTGCTGATTTTCCACATATAATTACAACCATTGTGCTGTTTCAAATGTTAGCTGCCTCAAATAGCAGTAAGAATTGTTTGAAATTTGAGGACTGATTATTCACCTGAAAGTACACCAACAGGAAGAATGAGTGGGAAAATCCATTATTGAGCTTGCCTTTCTCTTCTCAGAATCTCTTTGTACTTTCAGAGTAACTGATCACTGTTTTCATTCATCACTTCTAGTGCAGAATATTTCCTGGAAGTCAGTATACCTGACCGAAACTGTATTGGATAAGACAAATGTACACTTTGAGTCTCTTTGGCAGCGATGAAACAGTATTTTCTGTTAAAGGACTTGTGCCGTGTTGTAAGCTACGCGTTTATTTTCTAAAACAATTGGTTATTTCTAAAATTATTCTCTGTACTCCATAGTAGGGCTGGGATGAAATAGTAAATCGATAAAACTTCTAATACGTTTATTGTGGTGAATTACCATTATCCGGATAATCATAAATATCCTCACATGAACGAAGGATTGCTGTCATGGTAGGGAAGTTTTAAAAAGAGTCTGATTAAAAAGAAATACATTAAATATTATTTAAGAAGGAACAGACTCACACAATATTGGTGTTTAATATGTATCCTAACCTTAAGTGCTGTTTTAATCCTATTTTAATGATTATTTGGATAATATTGCAAATATTTTGCTGAAGATAATCATGACAGTAAATTCTCAGATCATCACATTCCTACACTTAAAACGTGGCTCCTGTTCTCTGTCCTTGACAGCCAAACAGCGAGGAAGTCCCCCTCAGAGAGTTTCGGATCCCGTCCAAGGAGAGTTGCATGCAGTCTGAGACAGAAGCCCTGATAGAACAGGACCTGGACCCCCCCTCCCCTGCAGCCCAGCCCTCCACCAAGCGGCGCTCCCTGCTGACAGACCACCTCGACCCCGGGAATGCCTTCCCCCGAGGAGCCTTACCTCTGAGCTGTTCTCGGGACAGTGTCCGCAGCCTCAGACGAGCCTCGTCACTGGATGACATCGATGGCATGAGGGCAGAATGGAGCGATCGGCCTGGAGACTCCCGAACCAACAGTAGTGAGTGTCTGACTTTGTGGTTAGAAAACAGGAAATTACGTAAGTTGAATCATATATGACCTGTAATTTTGAAAAGAAATGATTGAACGATTGTTCACTTTGTCTAAACACAAATATGGTCTTTTCAATGTTGTTAAAATAAAAAAATAACTACAGTCTTTGAGACTGAAAGGGTTATTAAAAGAATAAATACACATCACCTTTGAAAATCTGGTTCATTAAGAAATTACTTTCAATAAGCCTTTCTCCAAAATGGATTATTTTTACAATGAGGATTGAACGATGAAGGCAGAAAAGAGGTTTACCCCACCAAGTCCATTATATTCTTTATATGTACAAGTACATCCATGTACACAGGTATAATTGCATCTATAAGTACACATCAGAAATCATCATTATCAAACAGCAAAGGTAAAGAAAAAATCAGATGTCCAACATCCATAAGTCAGTGTGATTCAGTCTGAGCATGCGCTACTTGTTCCAGCAGAGACACAATCAATCCCTGTGTCTCTTTGTGTGTATGATTGTGTGTGGGTCTGTGGTACTTTTGTGGTAGAATTGTGCATTATCGCACATACAGTATATCCTTCTATTCCTCCTGTTATTTTCTGAAGTATCTTTTGGAGTCTTTCTCTGTATAACATTTTCTTTCATTTCTACTATGTGTTAACGCCTGTATGCCCATCTGTGTCTTGAGGCTGAGGTGAAATGCTGTCCTGATAGTGGACAAAAAACCTCTTGTTTTAGAAAACCTTTTAACTGTGTTATATTTTAGTTTTAACATTTGGTCATGAATTGACATCCCCACACACAGCTAATGTAAAAGATCATATTATCACTTAAATACAGATATTCAAATGTGTTCTGTTCTTGTTTATTTGTATTCACATCTGTATAATCTGCATAAATGTTCTTGATCTGTGCTGATGTTGCTGCTCTCTGCTGCAGATCTGAAGCCGAGCGTTTTGAACTCCACGTCAGACTCGGACCTGATGAGACATCGAACCATCGGCCGCATTCCTCAGGTTACTCTCACCTTCGGCTCGGACAGGATGAGACCTCCTTCCCCAACGGAAATTGAAATCATTGCACCCAGCAAGATTAAAGACCGAACTCAAAACGTCACAGAGAAGGTCACACACGTCACTCAGGTAAGTCAAGCCCATTAACATCTCAGTGAAGAAAGATAGGCAATAAAACCTATTTGCCTTTATTTCTTTCTATTTCAATCGTTCTTTGGTCAAAGTTACTGGACACAGTATTGTGTGACCTCATTTAAAGTAATTTGTAGTAATTTTTCAATTCGAAATTATCAACATACAGTAATTTACCAAATAATTTCTGTTCCAAAGAAAACCCGTTAAGATGGAGGAATAGAATATAAATTCATTTGAAACCTGACAAATATAACACACAACTTAATTGACTTAATACAAAAACAAATCAGGTGAGATGAGTCCACTTGTTCTGAGTGCAGTTTCCTTCATTTCTGGAATTTTCTACTTAAGTATCTCTACCATGAAGACAGAAAATAAGACAGATTGTTGCACTGGAATCAATGTTGTTTTGTTCATGGAAATTATTAAGTGGAAATAAAAATGATCTGCTGTTCTTATTATTATTTATGAATGGGATTTATGTTTTGCTTGTTTGGATGGAAAGATTTGTAGGATTAATGTCTTTTGATAACTTCAGGTTTAGCCTCATATTTAGAGGTTTTCTCAAAAGCTTAGTCAAGTAGCTATTTTTCCTGAAACTAAACACTTCACATCACATCATGTTACATCTCCTGTCATCCTGCAGGACACGTCCAGGCCATTATTTCCGTTGATCTCCTTGCGCTGTCACCTTCATCATTGTCTCTGCACATAGTTCAGACAAAGACGTCTAAAAATGTTTGCTTGCTGCTGGCTCATTGAAGATGCTAAAAGACATCTGCAGTCACAGGGTGAAAGTGTGAAAAAAGAATATCTCACCTGAGGTGTGAGCCACCTGTCATCACACCACTGTGCGTCAGTGCACATTTTGGGCACACTGTAACCTCACACAGAGACGTGATGAAAAAAAAACAGTGGACTTTTATAAGTAGAAATAGGAAGGTATTCAATCTAAAAGTATTCTTCATAAAGAATTGCCACTATCAGACATTCAGCATGATTATTACTATGAGTAAATAAAGGAAGTTCGGAAAGGGGAGGTTTTAGTGCTTTCTCGTTTCACATCTGCATTTGTTTTGTTGTTTTTTTAAAGTTTTGCGTTTACATAGGATAAACAAAAGAAGGAGTATTATTCCCTGATATACTTGCAGCTTCCTTGATAGGAGATCACTCCTTCACACCAGTTGGCTGAGTGGTATCAACGGCCAGCTGCACAATGTGGAGCAACATGACTTCTGTGGCCCTGGAAAGACTGAAAGGAAGAACAGAAGGCCTCCTAAAATGCCTGGCAGGAGCACTTAACTTGTTATCTTGACATTGCTGAGGTAGAAAGCAGAAAGTTATTAGAACTATCTGTCTCTGTTATGTCTCCGGCTGACAAACCACACACAGGAAATGTTCTCCTGTTTCCAGCACAAATCAACCTGGTGTTTTAACATCACAGTGATTTAATTAACTTGAGGAAATGTGTCTCCTAATAACAGTTTAATTACTTTTTGGACATTCAAACAGACTAAATGACATTAAGAATGATTATTTGTCAGTATAAAAGGTATCTTGGCAGACTAGAGTACTGTCCTCCCCCTTGGGTGTGTGAGGGTGTATGTGGTGATGGTGTGAGTGTGATTGGGGATCACAGTCTGAAGCTGTCTGCAGGAGTGTGGAGAAGTCCCGGTGAGATCACTGAACAAAAATATAAACGCAACACTTTTGTTTTTGCTCCCATTTTTCACGAGATGAACTCAAAGATCTAAAACATTTTCTACATACACGAAATAACCATTTCTCTCAAATATTGTTCATAAATCTGAAAAAATCTGTGATAGTGAGCACTTCTCCTTTGCCGAGATAATCCATCCCACCTCACAGGTGTGGCATATCAAGATGCTGATTAGACAGCATGATTATTGCACAGGTGTGCCTTAGGCTGGCCACAATAAAAGGCCACACTGAAACGTGCATTTTTGCTTTATTGGGGGGGTCTGGGGGGGTCCGAAAACCAGTCAGTATCTGGTGTGAGGGTTAGGATTAGGGTTAGGGTTAGGGTAATGTTGTGAATCGAGTGGCCCATGGTGGTGGTGGGGTTATGGTATGGGCAGGCGTATGTTATGGATGATGAACACAGGCCACTCGATTCACAACATTACCCTAACCCTAACCCTAACCCTAACCCTCACACCAGATACTGACTGGTTTTCGGACCCCCCCAGCCCCCACCAATAAAGCAAAAATGCATGTTTAAGGGTGGCCTTTTATTATGGCCACCCTAAGGCACACCTGTGAAATAATCATGCTGTCTAATCAGCATCTTGATATGCCACACCTGTGAGGTGGGATGGATTATCTCGACAAAGGAGAAGTGCTCACTATCACAGATTTTTTCAGATTTGTGAACAATATTTTAGAGAAATGGTTATTTTGTGTATATAGAAAATGTTTTAGATCTTTGAGTTCATCTCATGAAAAATGGGAGCAAAAACAAAAGTGTTGCATTTGTATATTTTTTCTGTGTAGATATGAAAGCGAGTAAAAAGGGCAACGGCTCTGAGGCTATTGAGTGGCACTCGCTGCCTGATGCCAGTGACCTTGGTGTCTGGAGCTAATGGAAGTGGAGGGCAGTGGGGATGCTCTCTGTGCATTCGTCAGACCTCTAACTCTGCTAATAGAATCACACTGCAGTCCTCTATTACCATAGTGTTTATGGGCTGATAAGGGTAGACATTTCTTGTGAATTGGGTAAACATATTAACTTTTTATATAATTGTATATCTTTGAACAGTCTAATGTGACATCTTATTTCATATGAACTAATTTGCCTACATTTCCAGAACGGAAAATTACATAAATGCAGGTTCAAAATGCAGATCTAATTTGTTAACATATTAGAGTCAAAGGTCTGTACAGAATGATTGTTTGTAAATCTCTTACTCTATTGCTTCAGTAATCAGAAAATATTCTCAACTGTCTAAAAAAAAAAAATTTCACCATTATTTAAGATAAGATGTAATTTATTAATCACAATTTGGGAAAACATTTTGTTTCAGCAGCATAAAACAAAACNGTGTGCCTTGGCAGTACAGAATGATTGTTTGTAAATCTCTTACTCTATTGCTTCAGTAATCAGAAAATATTCTCAACTGTCTAAAAAAAAAAAATGTCACCATTATTTAAGATAAGATGTAATTTATTAATCACAATTTGGAAAAAAAAAATTTGTTTCAGCAGCATAAAACAAAACAAGGCATTGCACATCATAACAAATTAAACGAGTAGAAATAAACAATTCTAAAATAGAAACATCTCAAAATAGAAATAGAAATGAACCAGCATTAGAGAGTAAGACAAATATCCGGCTTTGAATGATATATTAACAAACCCCCCTGTAAAAACCTTCAGAATACAGAGAGGGATACAATTGTAAATGTTGGTGTTTGTAAGTGCTACTGTAGTGGAGCTTTCTGAAGTTTGAAAACATTTTTCTTTTTTTTAAATGTCCTTCAAGCATTTGTATTATAAAACTCCATACATCTTGCAAGACATATCAGGTGAACAGTGTAACATTTTAAAGTCTTTTGACTCCCGAAATGGATTAATATTTATGTCCTAAAATGGTATATTAAGATATGCAATGGAGGCATTATCTAATGCTAATCTACATAAAAATGAGCTAGTAAAATATAACCCTTGATGCATATTTTGGGGATTTTTGTAACCCCTGAAAGAGGACATGAAATGGGAGCAAAATAGCCCAAAATCTCAAAAAAGTTATTTATGGCTGTATTGTCTTGCCCATCAACAGTTAGACCAATAGTCATATCATATGGGGTCACGGACGAATGTGAAGCCACGAAGGTCAGGTTTTAGGTCACAGTAATCATTGCTGCTGTCATATTGGAAAAAAAATGGTAGCATTGGTCAATAAGTATATCGAGTTTTCAAAAGAAGGATCATGTCAATTAAAAGTTACTCAATCTATAAACACATTTTTCGTTTTATTTTGCTTTTATCACGTCATACAATAAATTTGTTAATTTTCTTGTTTTTATAATTGGATTTCGATTGGCACCTTACAAAAAGGGAAATGAAGGTTGCTATTGATCTTTGGCATATTGATTTGTCTGCATAACATGAAGCACACAGTGTGATTCACCAGAGTGTGGCTGTAAAACAGTGGTAACCGTAGGCAGCAGAAGTGTTTTTATGCTGCCCCCTAGCTTTGAACTAGTTTATAACAGGAGACCTCACAGGAACACACATTACATCTAATTTAGCTGACGTTTTTGTCCAAAGAAACTTACAAAACAGTCTAATTGCCTGTATTAGTTCCCCAAAATATGGTTTTTGGCCAGATTTCTGGCCGCTGCGAGATTTATTTGAGTGAAATCTGAAGAAAAATCAGGCTTCCGCTATCAACAGTTAAGAATAAAGTATGGAGTGCTAAAGCAAGGCTATTTCTGCTTTAAGTCATTATTGTTTGCGGACGCCATCATTCAAACAGCCAATAGATCATTTTTGTTATGTTTAAAGGAGGATCCTATAGTGAGGGCCGGACTACAGGGAGAGGGAGGAGAGAGAGGGAGATACAGAGAAATTGATAGGGGTTTCCTCCCCCCTCTGTATCTCTCAGTCTACTGCTGTTAAATCGAACGCGCTTCACCATGAGCTTCAAGCTTAAACTGCAGCCTGTGAGTACCTCAGCCTTACTGAGTCTCTCAAGCCACCTGGTGCCCTCCCAAAACTCTCCCTTTCCCTGTTGAGCTCCACTTCACTGTTTGTTTGTTTCTTGTCACCTCTCCTCTTCTTTCTCCCTCTTTTGTCCTCATATTGTCATGCTCCAATTTGCCCCTTCCTGCTCACATACTGTAACTGCACAGGTGAGCAGCTTTGTCCAGGTTAGGCTTATGCAAAGGTTGTATCTCTTTGTTTAGACAGTTTTTACACAATGCATTTGAGTTGCTGCTTTTTTAGGTTTACTTTAAGGGGTTTAAAGCAAGGAAATGGCTGTGTTTTTGTGTTAAGCGTGGAATAAGACAAGACACGGAGGATGCATCGAAGAATTGTGTGTTTTACATTTCTGTAGTTCTTTATGGTTGAAGTTTTGCAAAAAGAAAATTCACTGAAATAATAATAATAATACTACATGGGATTTGTCTAATGCCTAAAGACGCTTGAAATGAGTTACATGTGATGGATTTGTTTTTAATAGCAGATAATTTACAGTCCAGCCTGTGAGTATTTACTAAGCTGTTATTTCAACATTTAATGTCCTAGAAGCAGCAATTTCATATGTTTCAAAGTTGCTTCATTATAAATCCGGTTCAGTCTTTAAGCTTTCCTTTTACTTCCCACCTCAACTATCAGCCTCTACCATATATATATATATATATATATAAAAATATTTAAACAGTAAACTCTTGCAATGTTAATTATAAAGTCAGAGAAGTGACACAGAGCTGTTGCGTGCGAACTGGTGGTGGCAGTTGTTCTCTGGTTGTCATTATGAAACAGAACTGCGAACAACATCAATAACAACATTTCCTGGATGAGTGAACTTTTGCTCGTGTTTACATTCTCATTAGCATGTTGTCTTTTCACATCTGTTCAGCTACTGTGGTCAGTTGCTGACACACAATGAAGTGCCAGGGGTTTGTGTGTTCAGTAAATCCTATGAGGTCTCCCACTATAACATATTTTTATTTTACTATGCCCTGTCTATTGCTCATTAAAAAACAGAATAACGGTGGAAGCTAACATCCCTCTGTCATGAAAGGCCTGATTTCCTGGAAAGCTGTACATAAACTTCATTTATTACCACCCTCATTTTTTTTTCACCAAATATGGCCATGGACAAAATTAGTAACATTTCTAATGTGCAATTTACTTTGACTATGTCTGATTACTGTTTTTATCTAAGCTTGAAAAGTCTAGACTAGAGTTTAGTAACCATGTTAGACTTACATTTTGGTTCCTGTGTAAGTCTATTTGTTGGCTCTAAAGCTACTTGTCATACAAGTCCTGCAAATGTTATTATGCAAATCAAAATGCAAATTAGAGTCCCACATCTCTCATGGGATAGTTGGTCAGCTTGAGCAAAGATGTAAGCAGTGGGATAACAGAAATATACAATTTGTTGGGAAACATTTGTAGGACTTGGGGTTTTTATTGGCAGTAAGTACAAATATAATGTTCAAAACTATGTTTTTATTATTGGATTATCACCTGAAACTAAGAAACCTTTTGTCTTTAAAGGAGTTCTTCATTGATACAAAGTGGCAGGTCTGCCATATTTCAAAAAGAGCCCAGATTGGACAAACTTGAAACTGCTCTATAAATGGGCTTCACATTTGTACGTTACCTGAAGGTCACATAATAACTACATGAATGGATGGGAGAAGTGAGCGTAGGGGTTTTCAGTTGATTGCAATCTGAAACCTCACCACGAGGTACCATTAATCCTACTCACTGCTATTTTAAATCTGCCAAATATATATCTGTATAATTAACTAAAATGACTCCTCTGCATGGCTCCTAATCAATGCCGGCACTTATTCTGGTCGACAATTGATCTGACTTCTAGTAGAAGGGGGTCCCATGGTACAACATCGACAAGTGAAGATGCAAGGCGCAATTTAAAACAGCAGTCGGTGATTTGACTTATGCCTGTAGAGAGCGGACAGAGTCTTTGGTTTTTCTGCAGAACTTGATGCAGGAAAAATCCTAAAAATGTCCAGATCATGTCATACGCTCATAGGCCAAACACAAGCGTTGTTTGTGGGTTTTTTGCTGCTTTATGAAATGTGCATATTGGGAAACTCACTCAGTGTGCTCTGTTGGTGAACATATTTTTAGGAAGTTATCACTACTTTTGAATCCCTTGACCTGTCAGCAGGATTGGCTTTGACATTTTTTATGAAGAAACTTATTTTTAGCTCACATCTATAAAGAACAGTCTTTCACACTTTGTATCCTACTGAGTTACCTGTATTATTAATAACAATATCATTATCCTGTCCATCTCTTTAGGTGTTGTCTCTCGGTGCTGACGTTCTGCCAGAGTACAAGCTCCAGGCCCCTCGCATCCACAAATGGACCATCCTTCACTACAGTCCCTTCAAAGCAGTATGGGACTGGGTCATCCTGCTGCTGGTCATCTACACCGCCATCTTCACACCATACTCGGCCGCCTTCCTTCTCAACGAGGTGGAGGAAGAGCGGAGGAGAACGTGCGGCTACACCTGTGACCCGCTCAACGTAGTGGACCTGGTGGTGGACGTCATGTTCATAGTGGACATCCTCATCAACTTCCGGACCACCTACGTCAACCAGAACGATGAGGTGGTCAGCCATCCCGGACGCATCGCTCAGCACTACTTCAAGGGCTGGTTCCTCATCGACATCGTGGCCGCCATACCCTTCGATCTGCTCATATTCCGCTCTGGGTCTGAAGAGGTGAGAAAGAAGGGGAGACATTGGCCTTTTGTCTACTTTTACTACCCAATGTTGTGTGAAAAAGATAAACACATTTTCTTTCACAACAGACACAAGGTCAAACTACCAAACCGGTCTCTCTGTGCAGCAACTAACGTTATTGATGACTCTGTTAAAAGGGATATTTTGGTGTATCACCTAGATGGCAGTCGGCAAACCTCAAGTTTTGAGATAAAATAGAAGTACTAGCACGGAAAATAATCAAAATAGCATTGTTCACTAGTCACTTCAGTTCAAATAGCGTTGTTGACTATTGTCACACGGGTGCAAATAATGTTTATGTAAAATAACGTTAAAGCGGTTTCAATATGATATTGATATATATAAGAAAATATGGCTTACACATATGCCGATATTTATGTATATTTTGGTAGCTTCAAATATGTTTTGCTTGTGCCCTCATCCACAGCTTTAATAAATTCATTCATAATAAAATGACTGTTTATGATATATGCATCATAAAACCCCACTTAGTGCTGCACAGCACAACTCAAACCAGTTGTTAGCGCTTGAGATAAAGTGAGTTAGTTTTTGTCTAAACCTCTTTGCACAGTTCACTGATTTCTCCAATGTAAATGGCACATGTTTGGTTGATTGTCCGTTTTTTTTTCTCTGACTGGCCTTCCAAGAAATCAGAATTATTATATCATAAATTGGGGCTTGGAACTTTGCAAAACAGGTCATTCATTAAACTGCATTTATTTTAGGTTTTTGCTTCACAGATAATTTGATTAATTTTTTTTGTAATCTGAATTTTTATTCTTTGCATGGTCGAAACTTTTTATTTCAATACACTTTATATCTGCAGCAAACAAATTTGTGTTTATTTATTTGATCATATTTTACACTGGCACATAGGATTGCTAATATCATTAACATGATGTCCACTCTCTCTTCAACAGCCTCAGACAACAACTCTGATTGGATTACTGAAAACAGCGCGACTGCTGAGGTTGGTCCGAGTGGCCAGGAAGTTGGACCGTTATTCAGAATATGGAGCTGCAGTCCTTTTCCTCCTCATGTGCACCTTTGCCCTTATTGCTCATTGGCTGGCCTGTATCTGGTACGCCATCGGCAACGTGGAGCGAACAGGTTCAGCCCGCATCGGAGGCCTCAAGATCGGCTGGCTGGACAACCTGGCGGACCAGATTGGTAAACCGTTCAACGACAGTGATCCAACCGCAGGTCCATCCACCAAAGACAAGTATGTCACAGCCCTGTACTTCACCTTCAGCAGCCTGACTAGCGTGGGTTTCGGAAATGTCTCACCCAACACCAACCCAGAGAAGATCTTCTCCATCTGTGTCATGCTTATTGGCTGTGAGTTGAGTGGGATTGAGACTAAAATCAGACGGCCCTCTAAAACAAATAAAATAAATACAAAATTGTACATTTATCTTTGTATCATCAATTGTTCCATCATAAACAAATGTCTGTCATCTGTCCCATTCAGCTCTGATGTATGCCAGCATCTTTGGTAACGTGTCGGCCATCATTCAGAGACTATACTCAGGAACGGCACGGTACCACACCCAGATGCTGCGGGTCAAAGAGTTCATCCGTTTCCACCAGATCCCAGGCAGCCTGAGACAGAGGCTGGAGGAGTACTTTCAACATGCCTGGTCCTACACCAACGGCATCGACATGAACGCTGTAAGTCATTTAGAAAATTCATCAGACACATGCTAGTGTAGTAGAATGAATAGCCCTATGTTTGTGTAAAAAGGAAATCGGATGTTTAGACAGTTGAGAAAGATGGAGTTGTTGTTATATGCTTTTACATCAAAACTTTCAATTAGAAAGGCTGATATTTATTGTTAGCTATGTGGGGGTATAGCTCAGTGATAGAGCATTTGACTGCAGATCAAGAGGTCCCCGGTTCAAATCTGGATGCCCCCTGTTCACCCATTGTGAACCTTTTGTCTACATGATCCCAAACTACAACTGCCACCCAGCTGGAACATTTATTCAGAAGAGATGACAATGCATGTTTACTTTGCTTCACAATCTCTATTTTGACAGATTTTTTCTTAAACCTGTTTTTGGATTCATACCTGCTACTGTGTAGATCAGAGGTCTCAAACTCAAGGCCCAGGGGCCAAATCCGGCCCGCAACTTCATTTTATGTGGCCCCGAAAGAGCTTTCAAAGAATATAATACGTTTATTATACGGTAACATGCCACTTTACAGAAGCAGGTTGCCCATAAACTACATGTCCCACAATGCATCTCGTTGTGTGACATGCGCACTGAAGAGACTTGCAATTATTTGCCCTGGACTTCTGCTTTCAGACGTAGTTTTACTAAGTTATTATCCTATCCGATAATAATCCAATTCAGAGGCAATAATGTAATACAATACATTAATTTATATATATATATTATATATTTATATAGTTACAACTGGCCCTTTGAGTGCAACCTTTATGCGAATGTGGCCCGCGATGAAATTGAGTTTGACACCCCTGGTGTAGATCAAATCAAACCTCACTCTGACTGTAATAGGCAGGGGGTATAGCTCAGCGGTAGAGCATTTGACTGCAGATCAAGAGGTCCCCAGTTCAACTCTGGGTGCCCCCTTCACATTTAAATAAACACCAGGGTTTCCTACCGAGCTGATGCTTTGGGAGACTTAATTTTCAGTGAGGATGTGCGTCACATCGCTGGTTGGGACAGCTGCTAACAGCACTGGAGCATGTCACAGCCAGAGAGCAGCATTAGCGCCTGCCAATTCAATGTGAGAATAGATAATCACTTAGAGCTACTGTCATTTGTGCCCGGGCCAAATCAATCTGCTCTCTTTCTCTCACCCCATATTTTAATTATTATGCACCTTTTAAACAAATTGTCCATGTTTTGATACACGCTTTTAAAGATCCAGGACACATATATGCAGGTAAAAATAAAATAATAATTCCGAAGTTACCCAATGCCCTCTGTTGCCCTGCAGGTTTTAAAGGGTTTCCCTGAGTGTCTTCAGGCTGACATCTGCCTCCATTTGAACCGGTGCTTGCTGCAGAACTGCAAAGCTTTTCGAGGTGCCAACAAAGGCTGCCTGCGAGCTCTGGCCATGCGATTCAAGACCACCCACGCCCCACCGGGTGACACGCTGGTCCACAGTGGGGACATTCTCACCGCCCTCTACTTCCTTTCCAGAGGTTCTATAGAGATCCTTAGGGATAATGTGGTGGTGGCCATACTAGGTGAGTTGCGCGCCAAAGTGGAGGTTCTGCTTATTTGGTCCTTTTTTCTTAGTAAGTTTATCAATTTCATTAGTTTCTTATTTATGTTTTCAAAAAAACATTTTACTAATGCAATGTTAATGCACACTACAAAAAACCAAAACCAAATCATGATGGATTTTTTTGCATATGGCCATATTGTGTTTCTTTATTGGTCACTCTTTCGTCTCTTCACCACAAAACCCCAGCCACAACTGATGCTGCCGTTTTTACCACACACACACACACACACACACACACACACACACACACACACACACACACACACACACACACACACACACACACACACCCTCTGTGTGATGTGTTGCCAGAGGTGCTTGGGCATAGCTCCACTTCCATTCCACAGTATCATTGATCATCAATAGGCCCAGTACTCAGAACCAGGCTGCATACTGTAGGTCATCTCTTTTCCAGCCTCTGTTTGAGGGATCATTCTCTTGTTTTGAGCAGCAGTGCTGTTGAATATCAGTGCTACTCTATTGCTGGGGGTGGCATACCTGTGCCTTGTGGTGATTAAATAAAAATAAGATTAAAAATGTCAAATATGTTATTATCATATTATTTTAGGTGGGTGCTTAGGCCATGAACAGAAACTTATTTTTGACCATTTCTGCCTGTTTTATCTTTACCCATTCACATATTTACAAATAACATTATAAAAAGTGACACAGAAATACTTTTGATAATATGTGGGCACACCAATTAAATACATGTTTAACGCTAAACTGCTTAGTGTTGTGTACAGCTTTACTTTTGACAACATTAAGTGATTGTTACTATTTTCCAATGCTCTTCTTTCCTGTTGCTGTGCTGTCTGTAGGGAAGAACGATATCTTTGGTGAACCCATCAGTCTTTATGGGAGGCCAGGCAAATCCAGCTCTGACGTCAGGGCTTTGACCTACTGCGACCTTCACAAGATCCAGAGAGAGGACCTGCTGGAGGTGATGGACATGTATCCCGACTTCGCTGACAAGTTCTGGACCAACTTGGAGATCACATTCAACCTGAGAGATGTAAGTTCCACCAGAGCTACACATAAGCCCCCATTCTTCTTCTTCATCTTGACTCACCATCATAACAGGTTGTTCTGATTTATATTTTAAAAAGAAAAGGCCCATAGTTGCAATAAACATAAATACACAAACACAATGATGTGAAGATATTCAAAGACTGTATATTTTCTTTAATCATGAGATCAGGTCTGTTTATTTTGAATTACTGAAGCTGATATGTATCAGGCAGATAGAATACACCTACCAACCCCTGGCAGGGACTCTGATTGTGACTACCGGCGGACAAGGCGTCGGAGAAGATCCCTGCGTCGCCGAAACCGACCAGGTGAGTGAGGGGCGAGGCTTAACATATTTCCATTATGTTTCTGTGTTGTGTTACCTCCAGGGTTTGTACAAAATGTTTGATTGTAATCATAGTCTGGTGTTTAATTTAAACAAAAATAGGGGACCTTTAAATTATCATAGTAAAACATAACATTTGTGTTAATGTGAGCTGCTTAAAATACATACACTTCTGTAAACTTTATGTTTTCAAATGGAATTTGTAGTAACAACTTAGTTGTGCTTCTGAAGGCTTTTCGAGTCCGGAAATATTTGGTAAAGGTATTTTGGAAGTGCTTGAATTTGACTGTAATATATCTTATCCTGGGGACCCTGTCACACAGACGGCATGGACCGTGAAGACTCGTACCCCGATCAGTCCTGCACAGTAGCCAACCACCACCAAGGCATGATGGCAGGATCCCATTGGGAAGACATCTGCAGCAGTGCTAGCAACTGTTCGCAGTCTAGTGATGAGGAGATGAGGCCTGTGGGACACAGCAAGGGGGAGCTGTACCCCACACCGAGGAACACCAGAGACTACCCCCCCGTGGTCAACGTCCTGCCGCACAGTGGACCCTCAGCTGGGATGGGACCGCCTGTTGACCCCGGAGGACCACAATACTCAGGTGAAGACTTCCTGCAATTCTTTACCCGTCATGTCTTGTTAGAGCCTTAAAACACACTCAACACAGAGGTGTACCAAAAGAAGTTCCCAGTTCCCTCTTAGATTTCCTCCTGAGATCTTACATTAGGTAATAAGGTTGAGTAAATAGAGTTGTAATCTTTTTTAAAGATATTAAAGCTATTTGGTGCCAAGGCAAGTCCAAAGTCCAAGAGTTAATTCAATGTTATAAACTGTAATGTAAATAAAAGACACACTTTAAACGAAACTAAATTGTAATCTGAATATGAAATCGAGGTAGAAAATGTTTAGAAGGTTTTTATTGTTTTTCAAAGTGTACCATACTTTTGTGCATTTTTAAATGTTACCTTTTATCCAAGTGGCTGCAGTAAAGTGACATTGTAATAATGACATTTGATATGATTTAAACTTCAAGAACGAAATACTTTTTACCTAGACATAAAATTGTCAATATACAACCAGTTACAACCCAACCAATACTTGTAAAATGGAACTGAAACGACATAAAAAGGAAAGTAAAAGTACAAATGAAAGAACAAACTTCAAAATGAATTTATAAACAATTAAACGTCAGATTACGCCTGCTCTAAAACTAGAACAAAAACTACAAGAATGGAATAAAATGGAAAAAGGTGTTATTATATTTATATGAATAAGAAATATTTCAAAAATCCCATTCTAGAGTAGACACTGGCTGATCCTGACTCCTAGAGTAGACAGTCTGGATTTCTAACATATTCTATTATCTCTTACTATAATTATTATTATTTCTTGAATAAGAAACTATAAAGTACCTCACATATGAACAGATGATTTCTCCTTCTTGGAAACAGCAGCAGCCCCGATCAGCATGTCCGGCCTGTACGGTTACTGGCCGGATCGCAAAGCCAGCCAGTTCTCAGAGAGTCAGAGACGAGCGTCCTCAGTCAGAGCCAGCTTCCAGCGTCCACCCTGCCCTGAAGCTCGGCCCAGCGAGCTGGGGTCCAGACTGGATCTGCTGCAGTCCCATTTGAACAGGTGAGCTGGTTAAATGTTTACTTTTTTAAAGTGGTAAAGAGGGGGCACCCGGATTTGAACCAGGGACCTCTTGATCTGCAGTCAAATGCTCTACCACTGAGCTATACCCCCACTGCAAATTGATAAACAGATGTTGGATTGTCTTTCCATTTCACAGCCAATATTTACTTTAACGTCACCATTATCATACTTCTGGAAACTCCTCCCTGCCTCTCCTGCTGTGTTTGCTTATCAGTTCCCAGCCGGTTGTGTTCATGGTGGTAAGGTGAGCTGCATTTGTATTGAAAAAAGGGAGGAGATAGAGGAGGATACAAAGACAAAAAAAATAAGAAAGGGTCAAAGGTTTGATTCAAATATTTAGAAACATTCTCTGTGAAGTCAGTCATCTGTAATCCTTCTTTCGTATGTCTGTCAAGAAATATGAGGCAGAGAGATATACTGTAGGGAGAGCAAGAGAGAAACCTAGTGGACATTTTAGAAAAAACAGATGAGAGGGCTCTTTTATGACTTGTTCTATCCGGCATCAAAATAACATCAAAAGCACTTTGGGATGTGTGTTTTTCCGATCATGAAAATAAATTATTTATTTTCCTTCCCAGGCTGGAGACCCGAATGACTGCAGACATCAATGTGATTCTACAGCTCCTGCAAAGGCAGATGGCCCCGGTGCCTCCAGCCTACAGTGCTGTGTCCCCCCGCCCTCACCCGCCTCCCCCCACCACCCTGTTCAGCGCAGGAGCAATCCACACTGTCCCTCTGATCCCGTCTGTCCAGATCGGCAGCACTGCCTCGCTCCTACAGGTGTTGTGTTCACTTTACAAACTTCACTTACCTACTATTTATTGTTTTATTTAATGGGACAGCTTGACATTTGGGTATTTGTTCTGGTTCTGTGTAAAGGTAACAAAATCCACCTACCAGCCTCTTTAAAGACAATCAATAAACATTTTACATTACGTGTGTTTAATCTATAAAAAAATCTTTTTTTTTGCCAGAGTATTACTCAACCAGTAACTTCCTGGAGTGTCCACTGTTTGTCTGGCAAGAGTCAGTGGTTCCCAAGTCTGGGAGCACTCCCTTATAAAGGGCCCAGAGTTTTAAAAAGAAGGGCGTGTCGTCTAAATGTAAATGATGAATAGGTCTGCGCTGGCTTGGGGGGGACTTGAAAATATTTGTATCTACACTAATACTCTTCATATTAAGTATTTACACTATGGGTCAAATCATCTGAAATATAGATGAAACTCTGATATGCAGTAAACACAGGTCAGCGGCCATCCGTACAGAATGCATCACAGGTGCATCATGGTCCAACAACACTGTGTGGGCAATAAAACAATGTCAGTCAATATAAAAACAACATTTACACGTGGACACACACACACACACACAAAATCACAGGGTTGCTTTAACAAAGGTTTGTGAACCACTGTTATGAGATGGGATAACAGACTGCTTGCTCTAACAACATATGTATTGTGCAAACAGTGAGAGGTAATTCAATAAGTGTATTTGTGAACTACTCCTTTAAACACAACAGTCCTGTCTGAGTTAGGCTTAATCCTTTTCTCTCGTTCCAGAGTCCAGACTCGGACTTCAACCCTAAGTCTAGGGACTCTCTGTCCAGCGGGATCCATCTCACTGTGGCCTCTGATGACACGATGTCCATGTCGCCAGAGGCTGTCCCCCCACATCTGCCCTCTGTGGAAATCACCCCTCCTCAATTTTCAGGACCCCAGGAGCTTCCTGGACTGTTATGTGTCAGCCAGCGCTTCCCCTCCCTCCCTGAGCACCTGGAGACCTCCAGAGCGCCGCAGGAGATCCAGAGGCACGTCTCTGACCCTGGGCTGCCGGGGAGCTAGAACAGCAAACACCTCACAAAAGCCTGGTCCTTTGGATGGGACGGCCATATGTTCCCCGTTCTGTTACTTCCCCCTCCCTTCAAACCTCCTCTGTCCTGCTCAGATGCTGCTGTAGGGCGTGGGATGCTTGCCTTCCACGTCCCTGAGGGTTCAGGGGCCCCCTGTTTCTGATGTTCGGACTCTACAGCGCCCTGACAGGTGGCTGCGGCTTTGTGATTCAGCATCCCTTCACACCCGAGGTCCTGTGCAATAAAGAGATTATTCCTGCCCATCAGGGTCGGAAAACGGTGGTACACGAGTGGACAGTAAACACATACAAACATATACATGCGTTATGCAGTCGTCGGATCTGAAAGCCACACAAACTGCATCTCAGACAAAGGTTTCTGTGAAGAGAAGTGAAATGTCTTTTATGTTTCACATGAATAATTATCTGCATTCACTTTCTATAAGAATTGCACATTTAGACTTGGTAGAATGTAATCATTTATTTGGAATATAATTTATTTTCCTAATATTAGAGATGTATTGGTCACATTAAGAACAATACGTCTAGTAAATGTGATGAACTATAAGTGATAGAGTTTTGGTGTACGGTGAAAAAATATCAAAAGGCATACGGTAGCTGTCTGGCACACTGTGAAGGGTGATGGGTTCAAAGAATATTGTCATTTTCATCTCATTTCATGTTCTGACATTAAGACATGAATCTAGAGACGTGTTAGCAGTCATCATGAGAAGGTATTACAGCGTACAATGTCATAGTTTCTTTTATATTCACAAATAGCTCTATCAGTTCTGTTTCAATCATGACTGCTGAGCTGTTTCCCCCCATTTCTGTGTGTCTATATCTGCTCTGTTAAACTCAAATGTGTCAATGTCTTTTATGGTCACATGACTTCATAATGCTCCTGATTTTGTGTTTTTCTGAAAGTGCCAACATCAGAGGATTTGTATTCTAAGCCGTGATTGCAGAAGGTTGTTTTAATGAGTAGCACGTGAAGTGGATAGTCACTGTGAATCACATACAGACACACAGACACAGAGAGGTCCTCAAGGCGCCTTTTGTTAAGATGATTTCACAGCTCCAACTACAGGGTGAATGTAATGACTTTTTAAGCATTTATAAATAACTGTAATGTTTTTTGAAGCACAAATTCCTGTTCTTTATCTTTTTTTAGATTAAAGACACAACACAGAGTTACACTGGGAGTCCAAATCTTTTAATTGTATTATTCAACAAAGCACTGACGTACAAACTGCACCACCAAAGGTAAAATAACACTTTCTAAGATCTCTCAGAATGTAATTATTGATGAGTATGAATACTGGGAAACTTACAAAATCATTCATCATTTACAAATGCACTTTAAGGTGAATCATGTACAAATCCAAGAGGTCAAAGAGAACCACCATTTCTCACTAGTATATTAACAAGTTTGTTAATATACAATTTGTTAGTGTTTATATTTAAGTGTTATTTGGGGCTGCTTTGTTTATTAAGGACCAGGGCAGTTTGCAATCATTAACAGAACCAGGAGTATGGGCCTCATTCACCAATATCTTCATAAGTGTCTTATTAAACTTAAAGGGTGTTGGAAAGGTTTAACAAAACTGTTAAAGGTGGAGTACCGGACTCCAAATGTAAAAAGAAACGTCAATAGATCTGAAGTGCAGGTTCTTCTGAAGGAAGTGAACACCAGCCTTACATTTTATGGCCCTTCAAAGGGCACCAGACTGGAATACAACAGTGACATGCTGCTAGGGAAATGTAATCTACATAAGGGGGTATAACTCAGTGGTCGAGCATTTGACTCCAAGAGGTTGCCAGTTCAGTACAAACAAACAAATACATAAAGATTTTATTTAATGCCAAAATAGATTTCTAAGTAGATGTTGTTGATGTAACAGTACATAACAATCTTAAAGTATTTCTTCATTTTAGTTCAACTATGTGTGTGTGTGTGTGTGTGTGTGTGTGTGTGTGTGTGTGTGTGTGTGTGTCTTTATAAAAATATATATTTATTATTTAAGGCATAATCTTTCAACCAAATGTAACTTCACAAAATGAAGCAGTATCACGTTTGGAGGAATACAATTTATTAGAGCAAATTCAATAATAAACTTTATGAAAAAGCTGCCACATGAACACTTGTCCTACCAACATCTTGAGTTGATATATTATGTATGTACATTTGTGCCTTGTAATGGCATGCTACAAGGACATGACCCTTTGATTATTGAATACAACAAATAGAGAAAAAGACTCAAAGTTGTTTCACACTCATCCATTCCAAAACACAAAGAAAATGCAGCTTTCAAAGCAGAATCTTCTATAAATAAAGAAGAAAAGATAAAGTAGGGAGAGTAAAAAGGCTGAACGACATGGCTCTGCTAGTTTCTGATTGTTGCTGTCCATGGCCAAACCAAAGCACACTGTATCATGACAGATGCCACTGCAGTGACAATAAGAATCCCTCTCAGGTTATTTTACAGTTTATAAAATCATTTTGAGGGAGGATACTTGACAGACACCCATTAGAAAAATGTACAGTGGTGAACAAGGCCATTATACACTGAACAAAAATATAAATGCAACACTTTTGTGTTTGCTCCCATTTTTTCATGAGATGAACTCAAAGATCTAAAACATTTTCTATATACACAAAATAACCATTTCTTTCAAATATTGTTCACAAATCTGAAAAAATCTGTGATAGTGAGCACTTCTCCTTTGCCGAGATAATCCATCCCACCTCACAGGTGTGACATATCAAGATGCTGATTAGACAGCATGATTATTGCACAGGTGTGCCTTAGGCTGGCCACAATAAAAGGCCACTCTGAAACGTGCAGTTTTGGGGGGGTCTGGGGGGGTCCGAAAACCAGTCAGTATCTGGTGTGACCACCATTTGCCTCACGCAGTGCAACACATCTCCTTCGCATAGAGTTGATCAGGTTGTTGATTGTGGCCGGTGGAATGTTGGTCCACTCCTCTTCAATGGCTGTGCGAAGTTGCTGGATATTGGCAGGAACTGGAACACGCTGTCGTATACGCCGATCCAGAGCATCCCAAACATGCTCAATGGGTGACATGTTAGGGTTAGGGTTAGAGTTTAACCCTAGGGTTTTCGGACCCCCCCAATAAAGCAAAACTGCACGTTTCAGAGTGGCCTTTTATTGTGGCCAGCCTAAGGCACACCTGTGCAATAATCATGCTGTCTAATCAGCATCTTGATATGCCACACCTGTGAGGTGGGATGGATTATCTTGGCAAAGGAGAAGTGCTCACTATCACAGATTTTTTCAGATTTGTGAACAATATTTGAGAGAAATGGTTATTTTGTGTATATAGAAAATGTTTTAGATCTTTGAGTTCATCTCATGAAAAATGGGAGCAAAAACAAAAGTGTTGCATTTATATTTTTGTTCAGTGTATATTGATTTTTGAATCAGCATTCCTACATATTGGAGAGGTCATTTTCTGCCTCCTACAGTAGTTTTTATCAACAGATGTGACTCACAATATTTAAACCCTTCAAGATCATCTCAAAGCGGGTTGAAATCACACCAAGAAATATATAAAATCTTAATTTCATAGGCAACTGCTCAAGATTTCAGAGATTCTGAACACTATCTTATGAGCAAAAATAAATAAGAGCTTAAACCCGTTAAATAGAAGAGCAGTGCGACAATATGTCATCCAGATTATTGTGGGTAGGTGTGTGTGTGTGTGTGATACTCCAAACATGTTCAAAAAGTTCACTCGTGACCTCGTCCTTTTCTTCAAAGTAATAGTACGAGGACTACAAATTCTTAAATATTAAACAAGAAGGAGTGTCTCTCCTTTGTCCAAGTGTCCGTGGCTGTTACACACGCAGGATCTCCAGGCAGTTGTTGTAGCAGATGGCGATCCAGTCCGGCTGCGTGCAAGCCCACTGCACGTTGTTGATCTCCCCTTCTGCCGTGTAGGCCAGGATGGGATCATCGATGGCCCGGGGCATCTGCTGAATGTCCCAGATCAGAGCCTGGTGGTCGTCAGCTGAAGAAATTAAGAGGTGTAGAGAGGGCGGCAGAATACTAGAGTTAAGATTAGATTGAATTGTAAAAACACATGGGGAGATGAATGATGAGTTAATAACGTTACTCTGCTATAACCCACAATCTATAGGGGCACTTACCTGCCGTGCAGATGTGACATGATGAGTGAGGGGCCCAGGCGATGCCGTTGACACAAGCTCGATGGTTGTTCAGCCGAGCCACGGGAGTGCACGGCACACGCACATCCAGGATGACCACCTACCACACGGAAAGAATAACGCTTGAGATTAGAAGAAACAGCAAACCCCAATTTGCAAAGATGGTTAATATCCAGGTATTTTAATAGCATTATAATATATAAGCAGTAAATATAAATATCAAACATGGGGTTAAAAGTTAATTTAAGAATTAATCAAATGAATTCATAATACAGAAATGGTAACGAAAGAATCTGTAGCAAACTTGCCTCCATGCCGTCCATGGCCATAGTGGCCAAGTAGTTGGGGTCCTGCTTGTTCCAGCAGAGGCGGAGCAGCGGGTGGTGCTGGGGGTCTTCGTAGATGATGGTGCTGTGCTCCAGGTGCCGGAGGTCAAACATACGGACGGATCCGTCGGCTCCCACAGAGGCAAACATATCTCTGCCCCCTCCTGCACGACTGAAAGCAATGTCATACACCTGCAGAGACGCATGAAAACAGTCATCTAAACATTCTGTTGAGCAGTACACATAAGCAAAAATAATGGTCATGATTATATAAAACGATGAATCACTGACTTGCAACAACATGCATTTTTAAACATGTTGTAGTGCACTGACACAACCTACTGAAAACTCCTGAACATAGGTTCAACATTAAAGTAAACTATATTAAAATGATTGCAGTCAGCAATGGGCAAACACACTTCGCTGTGAAAGAAACATGGGTTGCTTATGTTTTCAAAAAAGTATCATTATTATATATTTTTCTTGTACATCTTGTTTTCCTACTGGTTGGAAGCAAAAATCGTAATTAAAATTGTAGGCACACACAGACCTCTTTGTCATGAGCGATGAGCTGCGTCTTCACATGTCCAGAGACCAGGTTTACTCGTCCCAATACCTGACCAGTCTCCAGTCCCCAGATAGTGCAGGTGGTGTCAATGCTGGACGTGCCTGTAGGATCAACCAACATGTTAAAAAAAAAATACAAATGACAGAGCAACACAGTCTAATTGCAGCCTCCTAACTATTTATTATAAAGTGGATTTCTCACCTAGTAGATTAGGATCAACTTCATTCCAGTCAAAGGATGTGAGGGGAGCACAGAAGTCAGAGTTCTTGTTGTTATTCAGCAAACATTCGAGACGTGTTTCAGTGTCGCTGACCTGTGTGATTAATGCAAAGAAATGTCATAGTGAGTGAGCAAACTTTTCTTAACAAGTACTATACTAAAATCTTCTTGCTGGATATAAGAGCTTAGCAGCTGGTGTTTCTGTTCTTATTGGAGTTGAACATTATTGATAATTCCCAGATACAGATGTCCTATTTTTGTATCTCTTGTAAGGTAGTTCTGGACTATTGTCGTTTGCTTAGAAAGAAAGGAAGGTAAAGGGTAATATCATTGTATTGTAAAGGCAAAACTAACAATGTGTTATGTTCTACCAACATACTGTAGTTCCAAAGCCATTGATATATCGGTCACAACAACTTTCCACGGGATGCTTCTTTTTTTTAAAGAAAAAATACATACACACACACACAAGTTTATTTTTGACCAATGCTTATTAATATGTATTATTTATTATTTATCATTAAAAACATTTAAATTGAGTTGCAGTGAAGGTAGTAAACAGTTCCATAGTTTGCTATTTAAAAAAACACTGACTGTATAAGGTTTGGTCATGACTCAAACCAACCAGTCTAATCCAATCAGATCAAACCTCTTACCCTCCAAATGCGCAGGTAGTCCCCACTTGTGGCCAGCAGATCTGGGTACACCCCCTTGGTGTCTGGGATCCACATGATCTTGGTGGTGGGGTAAGGATGGTCAAAAGTGTTCCTGCAGACAAACTCTGAGCTCTCCTCTTCCAGACCCACCAGCTGAACCTGGACACGGACAAACAATAGTCTCTGTTATTATTTCAAGACGAGCTGAACCACTGTTTACATGGCGACGAGGGTTAGAAATAGCACCAGCTATATATGGTGTTACTGTGGGATGCTGCTTTTCAAGATAAGAAAGACACGGATGTACAATGTTGATACTTGTCGGTTGCTGCTTTTATGTTATTGTTATTATAAGCATAAGAGTGTTGCGCAGAAAATCAGCATTAGCATTAGCTTGTTTACGTTAAACTAATGAATGGCCAGGACCACACTGACAGCGCACCTTGTTGTTGTACTCCTCCACAAAACTCCCGAGTGCCAGCCGAAAGCGTTTGTCTGGCCGGATGCTCCAGCTCATCGCATAAACAGTCCATGGCGCTTCGTATTTGTAGATTTCTTTCCTTTTTCCGTGAAGCGACATCCTATCCAACTGCAGCTGTTGTCCCAGCAGCTAACACGCTAGCATTAGCTAACTACAGAATAAGTAGTCGTGCAGTCAACTACCAGCAGTTACTGTGATCGACACTGAGGAATATCAGCAGTGTGGCGGTAATGAGCTTTTAATAACATTAGTCTTGTTTAGGAGCGAGATCCCTCACCACTTTACTTAACAAAGAGTGCCATTGCTCGTTATGACTTAGTGCGCTGTCAAGTCCAACGAAGCACATGCGACTTCCGGTATTTATCTTAAACAATAAAAGCTCAGAAAGCCTTCACAGTCGAATTAGCTTCTTTTAGTATTTATCGACTTTCTTTTGAATAATAACATGAAACTTCTCTGTAATATTTAATAATAATTTAACTTAATTCATGCATCATTTTAGACTATATCTTCTCTGGTTAGCTGCCTGTGTTGGTGGTAATAATGTCTGTAATAAAACACATTCCATCATGACTGGTAAATACAAAATGAAACGATTTCATCCTTATACTATTACGTTGTTACGGAAGAGGATTAGGGCCACATGTGAATTTTTCTTTAGAGATCTGACCAAAAGTTATATTTTTACTTCTGAGATTAAAGTCAGAATTTCTCCATTTTCAATTCACGTGTGCCCCTGATCCTCTTCCTGATGTTGTGGATAAATGTCACTCATTGCTCTAGTGTTTTCGAATAAAAGATTAGTGAAACTAACAGGTACACCACAAGTGACACATCACAATCACTCCAAACCAATTTAGGCCTACTAGGTAAACTTCGGGCAAAAAAACTACATCCACACCATTGGATTATAATTATTGATGTAGAAATAATTAAAAGATGCAACTTGTGAAGATGGAAATAATTATTAGCGACCCTGTATATACTGCAGGGTAGTTTAATATATGATAATATATCATAAAGTATTATATTTTGTATGAAAAAGTCTGAACTGTAAATCCTAAACATTTAGTGGAGAAAAGTACAATATTGACTGAGAAGTAGTTGATTAAGTATAAAGTTATAGAAAGCAAAATATTAAAATTAAGAACAATACTTAAATAACACTTTTTTTTTTTACTTTCCACCACTGCTTTACTAAAAAACATGTTCTATCCGAATTGTGTATGTGAGTTTTATTTTGTATGTTTAAATTGAAAGTATGACACGATGTTATTGCATCTAGCTTGACAACAAGTTAGAGTTACTTAATGTGGCCACTAGAGGGCATACATGCTCATGTTGATTAACAGTAGAACACAACCTCTACCGTCAGCTGTTCAAGAAAGTTAGAAGTTTCTTTCTACTTTCTTTACGATGTTACCTCCATATAGTTATAGCAATTTAAAAAATGTCTGTTATTCCAAAGTATGATATAAGTAAGTATTTAATACAATGACATTCACTATTATCTTTTTAATGAAATCAAAATGTGCCAAAGACTTTATTACTAGAAATGGTTATTTATTGAGAATATGTATTTGTGATTTGTTAAGTCCTGTCTATTTTATCTTATGGACTACTATCTCTGTACATTGCCTATTCTTTCAATTATTTATACTGTGATAATTTGTATGACCCCTAGAATAATTGTAAATATGAAATATTATTTGTAATGTATTGTTATTTAATATGATATCCTCTGAATTCCCATATCATATGTATGTTTCTTGTCTATGTACAAATTACATCAAAAAAGTTTCCTTGTATGTGAAAACCTTTACAATATAAATAATATGTATTACTTTTATTCTGCTTAATCTATCAACAATGTATACACATTTTTGTATTGTCTGTGTACATAAATTTGTTGATGGCACATGGGTTGTCCGTTCAGTCTAGAGGGATACACATAATAATGATCGTAATGATTACCTAACAGTTCTTAAATTCATGTTGTCAATTAAAATAAATAAGTAAAGTTGCACATACAAAGAAAGTCAAGACAACAACCGCATACAAACTTCCGGTAGAAACATTTCAGAATAAAACGGTTGGATTATTAGCAGCGTACATCCTGCTGCGATGCTTTTACTCTGAAGGTCCGGTCTTGTGTCGAGTATTCTCCCATTGCTTCAGGCGTAACATCACTACAAGGACAGTTCAGGCTACTTGAGCTCAACCAGCGATACGGTTATTGTCACAGTAATTCTCCAGGTAAGCTCTTTGTTCGGTCCGTCAATTTTTGTTTAAATAAAACACCGAGTTGTGTTAAAAAGAAAAAGACTGATGATTTTCGTTTAGGATCAGGTTGGCTGCTAGCAACAAGGTGCCATGCTAGTTAGCCACCGTTAGCATGATAATGCCAGATTTGCTAACAGCTAATGAAAAAGTGTGTGAGAGCTGGGGGATGGGTCGGGTATTATTACGGTTGTTTAAGTGTAATCCTACGGGTGTCATTAGATACGTACACGGTTTAAGTTTGTCTTGAAATCCACATCATATAGTAGTATCCATTTAGCCTGTTAGCAAGCGTGTCGCTTTCATTTGGGCTAAAGTTAGTTGGGCTAGCGACAGCTCTCTGGGTTAAAACTCACCAGATTTCACCCCCATCCAGTAGCTGTTTAACTTCGACCTAGCTTTGCCTTTACTTTGCCCCAGATATGTCGCCGTGTGTCGTTAAAATGTCTTATCTGTATGTGTAGCTTTACCCATTTATTAGCAATGGCAAAGCGTCAGATAACACTACTATGAATTACTCCTGTTAACTGTGACAGTTATATTGTATACTGAACACATTAACCAGTATTCTAATATTTCTTGCACTTTTACCATCATTATTGTTTAGCATCAACCAAAAGCTGGTTAAAATAGACAAGTGACAGCTAACTGCTTCACTCAATGACCCAAAGTGTTACCTATTGAGTTAAAGGTGGAATCATCTAAATACTAACTAAGCAATTTACCAAAAACAAATATTAAACTGACGTATGGTGAACCTATATACATTTATTTTTTCTCCATGTTTATATACTTTTGTATTCCAAACTTGGACTGTAACTTAAGCCAATAGTAAATAACAGTTTTTTGTCTGCTTCTAGCAGCTTAATTCGAGGTTAAAAACGCATCTCCAATACTGACAACAGAGTTCCATCTCTTCATTATTGTTTTGTAGTTAGTCTCGGCCCATAGGGATTTGTTTTGCCTCTTTGGGATTTGTCATTTGAATACCCATTGTGTGAGCAGGGACTCCCTTATCCTAGTTTTACCTGGGCTCTTGTTGCAGTTATAACCGTTATTCCCAGAGGCATCAGTTTAGACTCCCCTATGTTAAATATTTACCTGGTTTGGAGTAACATTGGTGGCTGGAAGTAATAACTTTCAGCAGGTTTTACTGAAATGCTTCTTAGCTTTCTAGACGCTAAACACTTAAGCTTAATTCTGACCCAAACATTTAGAATAAGCCATTTATTGTTAAAGTGCAATAGTGGCAAAACATGCTGTTTTACACATACTGAAATATGAAGATTTTCCTCTTTGCTTATTTGATATAATTTTAAATGTAATATTTTGGGTTTTGAACTGAATAAAAAGACATCACTTTGAGCTATGGCGGTTATTCAATTGGATGTTTTTACTACTTTCTGTCACGAATAAACCAAATTAGATTAATGACAGATGAATAATAATATAATAATGAAAGTTATCATTAGTTGGTGGGTTTCAGCCGCAGTTGACAGATTTCGGAACTGATTTGGCTTTTCATTCTTGGTTTTTGACGAGTCTGTAAGAATGTTCCTTCTTTGTCTAGCATTTGTGTGGACCTTGTTACACTTCTGCATTTGACTTTCTCTGACAGTTTTTACACCACCCTTATTGACGGTTTCCCTACATGTTGCATCAGCTCTCTTTGACTCTCCCTTCCCCTCTGGTGCAGGTCCCACCATGCGAAGCGCGTGTCTCCTCATGATACCGGCGCTCCTGCTCCTCTTGGCGCTTCCACTCTCCAGAGGACGCTACAATGATGACTTTGACGATGGTGAGGACCTAGCAGACTTTGATGACAATGACTTCGCTGAGTTTGAGGACATGAACGAAGATCAAGCTGCGGAGGCAGAAACTGCCCCCCCGCCTCGCGCCTCGCCGTCCTCACAGCCTGAAGAGGACGAAGATGAAGATGAAGCCACTGTGGAGCTGGAGGATGGCATGGATGGGTTTGACGACTCAGAGACACAGGTCAATTGCCTTTTTGTTAACAGCTTAATTTTTCACCACATTATAATTTTTTTTTGTATGACATTATATGAAGTTACATAGAATCTGTAGCAAAGCTAACTCAACTGCATATTTCCCCAGGATCAAGACATGTACAGCAAGTATGACCAGGAGGAGTTTGAGGGGATTGGAGACATGGAGAAGCCAGGCCACTCCATGAAGGACCCCCTCATAATCCACACTGTAAGCCAGCTTTATTGTTAAATCTTCTCACTAGCGAGTTTCACACCCTTCTGTCTGCTGCTGATTGCTGAGGCTCTGAATGTGAACAAGCTGCCTACAAAACATATGCTGTTGTGTGTTGTCGTTGTAATGTAAATAGGGGAAATTAACATAAACTTTTGTCATGGAAGAACAACAATAACACTGAAATTGTAGCCCTTGGCAACTAATTGACTTTGTTCTAAATTACCATTATTTCAGTTACATTGATACTGATTTTAGCTAGACTGAATAATTTGCCAATTTGAGTTTTTTACAAATATATTCATAATGTTGACTTTTTAATCGCTACCTTTTCCTTTTTTCTCCACCCATTTTTTTTTCCTGCACATTTTTAGACAAAAAACAGGCTTCACTATAATTTAGCGTGATACTGTTTATCAAGGACAATCCAGTGGAAGCTGTGTTGAGTTGTTTCTGACATGTTTCATCCACCCTGTCGTATAACTCCAGAGCTGTGCACGGTCCAAAAGTAAAAATGTAATTGGAACGGAAAACAAAATCCTTTTTCTTTTTTGAACAAAAAAGTATTCTGCTTCAATCCATATTTGTTAAAGTAAGTTGATTTTCTGACAAACATGTCCTTGTTTGTTTTTATTTGAATACTAATTCTGGCAAATAATCTAAAGCCTGCACATAGTTTCTTAGTTTTTTAAAAAGAACAACACATAATGACCATGAGGAGGTTGAGAACTACTGAGATGGGTATCCTTTTGATCACATTACATGACAACCCTGAGTGAATTTGTGCAAAGCTTTTGCAGGGTGCCAATTGGGATAGACTTTGCCATTCATTCAAAGCTAGTTTTTTTTTTAATTGTCTCTACTTAAAATGTAAGAAATAGAAGATGTGTTTATTCCAATTCAGCTGTTTTTAACATGTCTTTTACACATAGAATGATTCAATCTAAATAAGGACCAGATCTGTTCTTGTTGCATAGTTACGATCGTTTTTCTGAAAGTGAGCTATAACACTGATGACACATTGCTGTTTCCCTGCAGGTTCCTGCACATCTGCAGAACAGCTGGGAGAGTTACTACATGGAGATCCTGATGGTCACCGGCCTGTTGGCCTACATCATGAACTACATCATTGGCAAGAACAAGAACAGCCGCCTGGCTCAGTCCTGGTTCAACTCTCACAAGGAGCTGCTGGAGAGCAACTTTGCATTAGTGGGTGAGTACCTCCCACTGCAAGTGTTCTCATAATAAAGTACTGTATGACAGGGTGGGGGTCTGTTTGAAGCACAACCCGTCTCAATTGTCAATGACGTGTATGTTCAGGTGATGACGGCACCAGTAAAGATGCAGTCAGCACTGGAAAGCTGAATCAGGAAAATGAGCACATCTACAACCTGTGGTGCTCGGGGCGTGTGTGCTGCGAGGGCATGCTGATCCAACTCAAGGTATTCATGCGTGTTCATGTGAAGGAGTGTGTGGTGGTCGCTGTATTGAGTTAACTTGCAGCCATGTAATCATCCTTGTGGTTTGTTTCAGTTTCTGAAGAGGCAGGACCTGCTCAACGTGCTGGCCAGGATGATGAGGCCTGCCGGGGATCAAGTGGTGTGTATTACTAATCAAATATGTTTTGTGAGGGGCAGGGTTTCCTTTTTTAATATATTTGTGCCTATCCATGTGTCCTGGAAGATTTTAAACTCGAATAATGGGAGAAATGTGCTCAAGTGTTACCTGTGTTTACTGGGCTTAAAGAGACATTCTGCGGCATATCTGCGAACAGCTCACATCCGTACGTCTTCATTTGAGCTAAAGCGGACAGAAAGACCTGTGACATCTAGATGTATCACACATTAACATACCTTCCTGGCTATAAGCGGTAATTACCGGATACGGAAAACCTGGTGTGGAGTTTGTGAGTGACTTTGCTTCTAAAAGTATTCTCGTTGTCATTGTCTCGCTAACAATGTCTGGTTTGTTTGTAGCAAATAAAAGTGACTCTAAATGAAGAGGACATGGACACGTTTGTGTTTGCTGTTGGCACCAAGAAGTCGATGGCCAAGCTTCAGAAGGAGATGCAGGACTTGGTAAATATCCTCCAAAACGGTTTTAACTTTTATTAATAAAGTTAAACTACACAAATAATACATTTTTCTGCAGTCCCTTCTCACCCTGTTACAGTGTTACCCATAGACATTAACACTTAAACAATGGACTTGAATATTTTGGTTCTTTTTCCATAGAGTGAGTTCTGCGGTGACAAGCCCAAGTCTGGAGCGAAGTATGGGCTCCCAGAATCCCTGACTATTCTCAGTGAGATGGGCGAGGTCACAGATGGCGTGATGGACAACAAGGTAATGTCTCTTTAGTGCTTATCTCACGTCACACAGTATTATTACAAAAAGCACAGTTTGTCTCAGCATACAGCATTTGTCTGACCACATGTGTCTGGGTCTGTTTTTGTCTTTTTAGATGGTGCATTATATCACCAATAATGCTGACAAGATCGAGTCCATCCATTTCTCGGACCAATTTTCTGGTCCAAAAGTTATGCAAGAGTAAGTATTTATATCATCTTTGAATCTCTAACATGGGAGTTATCTAGGATTTTGTTGATATTCTTGATTGGTACTAAAAGTTTCTGTGTTGTTTCACAGGGAGGGTCAGCCCTTAAAGCTGCCTGACACTAAGAAGTCACTTATGTTTACATTTAATGGTAAGCATTCAATTTCTCCTATTTTTAGAAGACCCCATAATTAGATGTTGTAATGTAATATACACTGAATGTTTTTGTTTCTTGTGTTTTGTAGTGCCTGGCATGGGCAACACCTCTCCCAAAGACATGGACGCTCTGCTCCCTCTGATGAACATGGTGATCTACAGCATCGACAAGGTCAAGAAGCTGCGTCTCAATAGAGAGGTGAGCAGGATTTCAGTGCTCTGGTTTGTCATATTTCAGCCACGCTCACTTGTTGACAGTATTTCCTGCTATTAAATTGAACTTTAAAGTCAAGCTACGAGTCCCCTTTGTAATGTTCTCTGTATATTTAGGGCAAAATAAAGGCTGACAGAAACCGTGCCCGTGTGGAGGAGAACTTCCTGAAGCAGACTCACGCTCAGCGGCAGGAGGCAGCGCAGACTCGCCGGGAGGAGAAGAAGAGAGCCGAGAAGGAGAGGATCATGGCCGAGGAGGACCCTGAGAGACAACGTCGACTGGAGGTTGGCAATGCCACACACAAGAACACAGATAAAGGAATTAATGATGGATAAAGTCATTCTCTATCCCTTACTGTTTCTAAATGCATCACTTAAAGCAGTTCAGCATATTCGCTGAGTCTGATGTAGTTGCATTGTTCTTACAGTTTAACTCAAAGTAGTTTTAAGTAAGAGCATCAACACGACTTTAAAGGTCCCCTATTACGCTTTTTTAACAATAGTAGGTGTCAGATATATACAAAATATGTCTATGAAGTGTTTGGCTCGAAACTATTATTATAAGAAAAAAAAATATATATTATTATTGTTGTATGTTTTGTTTCAAAAACCGGATCATGCAGTGTAGCATGCCATAAACCCCTCTGTTTCAAAAGCACTGGTTCTGTGTCTGTAGCTTTAAATGCTAATGAGCTGCCATAATAGGTGACCTATAAATAAAAAGCTAGAGCAACAATCACACATTAAGACCAACCTTATTTTTATATTTCATACAATACAATGCTGTCATGCTATTTGTAGCAAACAAAGTGACAATTTACATTGATGCTTTAGGTATAAGCAAATTCAAATGTTTCTGAAATTTGATTTATTATAAAAATGTAGATGTGATGATCAGGAGGCACCTTTTTAAAAGTTAATACATTTGAATCTTTAAAACCTGTAAAAACATTTACAGACAAAAGGGCATCAAAAATAAGTGAAGATTTCAAAATGTAACACTAATTATTTTATCTTTGCCTTTTTCAGGAAGCAGCCCAGCGACGTGACCAGAAGAAGATTGAGAAGAAGCAGATGAAGATGAAGCAAATCAAAGTGAAAGCCATGTGAAACCCCAGCCCAGGGATACAAGCACACCTGAAACAGTGCTCCGCTTCTTTCGAGTCACCACGGTCTGCAGCTCTGGCACCAAACAGACATCCTGTGCCTCCGGGTGTGTCAAGCTCTGCTGTCTCTGTCCCCACCTGCGCCATTTGGTGTGGCTAAACCCAAATGACTGAGAGTGAACTGTCCATGTCAAGTGAGAGGGACTTTTTCATCATCGCATCACCATGTTTCACCCCTTTTTTTGGTCTAATTTTGTTGTCTGTTTGCAAGCTGTGTCGCTCTGGGAACTTCTTTTTTAACTTCATCTGCTGGGAAGGAACAAACTATTTGGTGGTTACTTGAGCCACATTCTAAAAGGAAATTTAATAGCATTAATATAATCTTAGATGAGACTATCAATAAAAAATGTAATTTATATCTGCTATGAGCTTGGTTTCTTGCAGGCTGTTTCTGATGAATATCTGAGCAAACATAATAAAATGCACTGGAGTCTGTTGGAAACTGTTTGTTGGTTTTTACTGGGGAAATTCATCTACTTGATTTAAAGGCCATTGATGAAGACAACTGTAGAAACTGATACACGGACACTTTGGTAGCACTTTAAAGAGTGGTCTATAACGGGGAGCAGAATGGGTGAGGCTTAATTCTAAAGTTAACTTTGAGATTGTGTCAGCAGTCTCTGAATTAGATTTGGTTTCATCTGTGCAATAGTCAAGTTAAAAAGGATACAATGACCATGTCAAGTCTGAATTAACTCTAAGATTAAAACTATGATCCTCCTTGGTCAAATGAAAACAAACTGCACAAGGACATAGAAACTGCACAATTTGGTGAAAGAATATTGCATTTCTACGATCAAGTTGACCCTATGATAGTGCTATCAGCGAGATTTAAATTATCAAACTTAGTACCAGGCAGATTACTTGACTAATAAGATCATATTAGTTATACTTTATTCATCCCAAACTTAAATGAATAATCGGTCACGAAATACTGACTTAAAAAAGGTTTTATTGCCTTTTATTTTATTGTTCAAGCTGCATCTGTAGTAATGGTCTGTTACTTAGCAATTGTTTCCATGAATTACAGACTGTATATTGACTTCATTCACCAATCAAAATCACATTGTTTATTATTTGCTGGTGCCCAATAATAAATTATTATTTGTGGAATGTATATTTACTCAATATCTGTGCAGTACAATTTATAGTATTTCCCTTTTTTTCACTCACTGATATTTATTGGACATCTGTGGTCAAATCATTTAATAAGACTTGGAATACAAAACATCTTATAGTTATAAAATAGGATGAATTGAGCCCAAATTAACAACATTGCAGTATTTAGTCAACCAGCAGTGCAACCTTAAATATATTTACTAACTAGCAACTAATGTTGTCATAAATGTAGTGAAGTATAAAGTACCATCTTTCCCTCTGAGATATAGTGGAGGAGAACAAAAAAGCAGAATGAAAAGAAAAGACTAAAATGTATACCTTAATATATATGAAAACCTTTCATAGACCACTTTAATGGTATACACATTCTGACAAAATGTAAGATGGTTCCTCAGATCAAGTATTATAAATAAAATAAGAAACGGAGTTCTGAGGCATTTATCACCCTGTATTAATATTTTTCATTTGTTCATTCCATATACCCAACAGAATATATGGAATAGATTTTTTTGGCCTTTGACCTTTATTGAGGCTTTCTTTTATTTTCATCCAAAAATATAGTTTGAGTCACTGTATTGTTTTTGCTGAAAATATCTAAATACGACACATTAATTGTTTTAACTGCACAATTATTTGAGAAAAGTCATTAAATATATGAATAGTTTGCATTAGACGAGTGGTGTCTTTAGAGGGCGTTATGATTACTTCTCTGGTTTTGGGTTTGCATGAGCAGATTCGAACATATATCTGTAAAGTGCAGAAACGTGACTATTAAAAATACAGGCGTTTATTAATATACATTTATTTTTGATATTCAGTTATATTTACATTATATGTCACTGCAGTGGCTTTCTTTATTTTATTTGTTACTTTGAAGAAAGTGCCGCTCAGGAATCGTGGGCTGCATTCGCAAACACTGATGGAGAACAGGCGAGGCTTTCAGGTTGGTTATGCGATGGCCGCTCTCTCAACAATATTTGGATTTTAAAGCGAAAACAATGGTTTTGCCGCTCTGAGAGGATTGTTGATGTCTGGACTAGCTACCGGAATGATAGCGGCGTTGTTTTAGCGCGTCAGATTTGCTTAAGCGCTGGCTCGGAGATGTCCTCTTTCTGTTAGGCTTTCAGTGTTTTTCTTGTTCGTCTCCCGGGCCTGGATGAAGCTGCCTACACTGTAGCGGCGGGTTGCTACTTTCGGATGAGCGGGCAGTAGCTCTCAAAGAGGTGGGGTCTGAATTTAGGAGTCAAAACAAGTCCGTAGAGCTTCTAGGAGAGTTGCATAACATACATGTCATAGATAACATGTTACCGATGTGGTCGGAGGGGCAACATTATCAGAGTTTGACTCCTAACTTGATGTTCTTGCTAGTTAGCATTAGCCAACGGCAGCGGTAACTTGCACCAGCTAAAGCGTCATTTTAACATTTGCAAACCTTATATCGTATCAGAGCTACCAGTTATGTTGCTCCTGCAGAATAGAGAGGCACCCGGTTTATATTTCGTTTACGTGAACTCTGTTTTGACGTCTGAAAAAAGGATATATTTGAATTTTGTTGTTGCAACTAGCATGTTGCTAACTGAACTAAGTGGTCAGTGACGTAACGCTGGGCATTGTTTTGACAGCACGCAGCATCTTAGCCCATACCTAAAACGTGTATATTACTATCTTGCTCAGTTATTTTTTTTTGTTGATTATTTTTTCTAACAGACATTAGTTAGAAAAGTTAACGTGTGTCTAACTGATGTGACGCAGCTCACCGTTCTGTTACAGTACCATACAGTGTAACGTTAGCCTCTGCCAGCGACCAAATATACTCTGTCTTTAATTACTGCAGTATTTCTCATCAGTATATCTCTCACTGGGCTGTTTTCTAAAATTGCTAAGGCCTCTATATGAACTTCGAATGTCTAAGGCACAAATTAAGATAGATGTTTGAAATGCAGTGTTAATGACAACAATCCATTCTGCTATTAAGGAGATACCAATGTTTGCAATCTAGAACACTGTATTGTTGACCCAGGGAAACATCATATACATACAGAACAGATGAGAACAGAAGAGCTTTTAAAGGTCTCCTAAATGTTCCTAGGGTGTTGAGCTGAGCATAGAACCCTGTGAACATATACAGTGGGGCAAAAAAGTATTTAGTCTGCCACCAATTGTGCAAGTTCTCCCACTTAAAAAGATGAGAGAGGCCTGTAATTTTTCATCCTAGGTATAACTCAACTATGAGAGACAAAATGAGAAAGAAAAAAAATCCAGAAAATCATATTGTCTGATTTTTAAAGAATTTATTTGCAAATTAGGTATACCTAGGATGAAAATTACAGGCCTCATCTTTTTAAGTGGGAGAACTTGCACAATTGGTGGCTGACTAAATACTTTTTTGCCCCACTGTACATGTGTACACGTCCCCATACTGTAGCTGCTGTTTCATGGTTTTCTGTTTGACACTTCAGTTGTAGGATGGATCCAGACGGTGGGGCAGATTCTCAAAAAGCTGTCAGTTTGCAGTGGCAGAGCTACAAACTTGTCCAGGATCCAGCCATCCGGCGAGTTGCACAGAAAATCTACAGATATGATGGAGTGCATTTCAGTGTGCCAGTGAGTTGATTGTCTTTCTCTTTTAATACATGTGTGTTCCTTAAATACAACATGTCTAATTTAGGATACAATACAACTTTATATCAAGAACTTTTACTCATTTAGAAAAAAACTCTATAGAAAATAGTTTGTCCCCTATCTCTTATTCAAGGAGGATAGTCATGTCAGCACACATTTGATCCATCCATTTACTGAACCCTCATTCTGTTTTCACTATCAAATACCTGGTGCTTCTTTTGTGTGTGAATTCATGTGTTTTATTATTATCCTGTCTGGATGTGATATGAGTTCAATGCNAGTTGTTTATTCATACGGTTGGGCGCGCTCTAAACGTGTCTGTCGTGCAATCATCTAACTAAAGTCGATCGGTGAACAGACCTTATGGCCTTCTGGTCTTTGGCCAAAACTTTAAGAACAGTGCATACTTTAGCAGAAGAGTTATCTTGTAAGAAACTACCAGAAGCCGGTTAGTCCTAGTTCTTATTCCGCACCACAACAACGTCCTTCAGGTCTGCCCTCTTATGAAAGACTACATCATGTCCCCACATGTATTGACCATGGTCCAATTACACGCCAATTAGACTTTACGCATGTGCAGTGAAACACAGGTTTCGGCGGAAACGCATGGCTGCATCAGACACTTCGAAAAGGTCTTCCGCCAATCTAGTGGCCTGCTGGGCTGCAGGCCAGGAGGCTACACGTCTGTCCCGACGACAATGGTCAGCCAGACATGTTGCCGTTAACACGGTTTGATGCGGTGGCCGACTTGACGCGATTTCTTGTCGACTAGTGTTGTAAGGTACCCGAGACACAGAGACTTCATGAGGCGTGATCGGCTGGTGGGGGGGGGTCAGGCGTAAGGTCTTCATGAAGGGGGCAGACTAAAATGATGTATTATGTATGTATGGACAGTACACTTTACCTACTCATAGGCCCCGGAAGAAAGTAAATAGAAAGCGCAAGGGTGTTGTTATATCGTATTTCTTATCCGTATAAAACCTGTATCAAGCTTACGCACTAATTAGTACTAATTACTCATGTAAAGAATTCGACACTAATTGAGACTAATTTTAACAATTAACAAACTGCCGGGAGCCACGTTGTACATAACTTCTCTTGGCAGTTAATTTTTGCGACGCGCCAGTTTACAGACCATTATTAATCCCTACGAGACGTAACTAGCCCGGCTATAAGTGAGAATTATCAAAGCTAGCCACGAGACGATATTCCGGTCAGTCCTCGGTCGACCTTGACTAGCTGATGGACGCTGTATTTCGCGCCCTCTCACATGGTCTGCTCTCCGCTCTCTCTCTAGTATAGTCGACCGACTCCAGACTGCCTCTGGGCGCCGTCGAGACGACTAGTGTGCGCTACTTCGGTGGCGGGTGACAAATGCTCGACGTACTTTATGACTGCCCCGACACGTCCTCTTCTCTCGCCTCTCTCTCCCTTTGTCTCTCCTAGGCAAAAGGACGGCACAATAATAGCGTTTCAATTAGCATCTTGGAAAACTTATTACTTTAAAATACGATGATGTTTATCAAACAAACTTGACATTATTAAGTACAACAAACAACAAACACCTTCGGCGTAGTAAATAACTTCTTACTAGACTTCGAAAAGCTAGACAATGCTAATATTTGACTTCGGTATATGTTTTTACTCGAGGGTAATTGACTCAAATTTGGAGTCGTATAGGCAGGATCATTTTTCATGGTGGGGCTAAGCCATTTCTTGGTATGGGTGTAGCCTCCCCCAGCCATACCCTGGCGCTGCCACTGGTGGGATGTATGGGGCGGGACATTCTGCACATGCGTTAAATGCGTTGAATATTTTAACGCAATTAATTCAAAAAACTAATTACCGCTGTTAACGCGATAATTTTGACAGCATTAATTTGACCAGCTAAAAACCGGTAATTACCGGCTAACGGAAACCCTGATTTGTACGAGTTGTCTTTGGCCCTTGACTACTGTCAGGCTTCTGCACTCTTTCTATATCAAAGCCAAGATGTATACTTTGAACTTGCTCATGGTTACTTTATTATAATTTTTTCAGAATTATTGACAAGTTATGGAAAATGCCCATGAGGATTGTTGTTGTTTTTTTGCCCTGTTTTGCTTATGTCACATGCTGTTTCTATTTCCCAGGAGAGTCAAGTGCATCAGCGCATCTCTGATCTAAGGAAGGAGGGCCAGTGGTCCGCCAGTAGACTGCCTAAGCTGATGGAAGCCTCCCGTCCAAAGTCCCACTGGGACTACCTCCTGGAGGAGATGCAGTGGATGGCCGCTGACTTTGCCCAGGAGAGGAGATGGAAAGAGGCTGCTGCTAAGAAGGTAAGGCAGGGAATACATCAGAGATATTTGAAATTACACATCATCAAAACAAATAGGAGTCACTGTGTGAAGCTGACCGTGGAGCGGCCCGACCAAGCAAGGAGGCAGAGGCAGAACGTCCAAAATACAACCCGGTGTGGGCATTTATTACTCACGGGCACATGACACAGCCTCAATCTCGCTGTTCACGTGAGCACAGTCACCAGCCACAAGGATCTCACACCCCCCACAAAACAGGAAACACAGAGCCTAAATACCCACACTAATTAACCCAACAAGACACAGGTGAGGGGAGAGGAGACAACACAGGGCACCAGGTGCACACAATCAACAGCAACAGACATGGGGAAAGGGAACACTTTTCAAAATAAAACACATGTGCAATATACAAAGCCCGAAGCCGTCAGCCCACAGTGACGAAGCCATCTTCGTCACACACTGCTGAAACTGATGTCTTGTTGAACTGTCTCCACTACAGCTTGTTCGCACGTGTGCCCGTCACCATCAAGAGCAGAAGAAGAGTGAAGAGAGGTTGAAGAAAGAAAGGGAAGTTCATCTTCGTCACATTGCCAGCACGATTGCCCGTGAGGTGGAATTCTTCTGGGCGAACATCGAGCAGGCATGTATATTTATTATTCAGTTTTTCCAATTTTTTTTAAAATGCTGTCATTAATAATAAATACAGCAGCGTTTTTACCAATCCCAATGATGTATTTCTTTCCGTCAGGTTGTGGAAATTAAACTCCAGTTTGAAATTTACGAGAAGAAACTAAAAGCTCTCAGCTTACAAAAAGCATCAGCCAAAGGTAAGTCCTGCAAAGCAACTACCACAAATATAATGCAATATGTTTTCTGTCTATCATGAGCTTTTACTATCCATCTATTCGTTCATTTTTCAAGAAAGATTGTGTTGATAGATATATTCTTTCAATAACCCAATTTCTTTTTCAATATTTTGTGTTACAGTACCGGGTCAGTCAACAGGAGTACACGCTGGAAAAGAGGTATGTGCTGACCTGACACTTGAATGCATACCAATGCATATGCACCTACTCTACATCTTGTTTCTAATTTCTAAAACCATCCTTTCTCGTTATAGGAGGCGACGACTTCAGCTAAAAAAAGGAAAGCAAGTTCGTCCTTGATTGATGAAAATGGTATGTGTCAAACCCCTCAAAATAGAATAACAACATGGACGTTTAAAGAGTGCCCTTATTTATTGCTTGTCCTTTCTTTTAGTCCCAGATGAAGAGAGCACGATAGAGGAACAGGAGGCAATGGAGGGGGAAGCAGACCACAAAGCAGAGTTGGTTGAGCTGGCCAAAAATGGTACTTATTTACTTAACTTCTCTGTCTATGCATATGTAGGGGGGCAGAACTAAGGAGGAGAAATGGGTTTACTCCCAAATCCCATGATTACGATATTCTCTCTTGCACAACATTGCTCAAATGTTTCTTTATTTTTCTTTTAGCTGAGATGCCTCTTGATGCTTTGAAGAAGCAGTATGCCGGCGCCTACGTTGAAGGCTTTGAGTGGCCTCAGCCTAGTCCTCACAGTGATGAGGAGGAGATGGAGGAGACTGAAGGTGCCTTTTATTTATTTGACACTTTTCTTACGGTCATTAAAAACCTGGAAAAGTCATGGAAATTCAAAATGCTAATTCCAGGTCCTGGAAAAGTTATGGAAAACAATATTTTTCCCAAAGTTTTGGAAAAGTCATGGAAATGTTACTAAAGTTGCATCAAATATAATTTATATTGTATCTAATCGCCGAAATAGTAATACTATAATGATAATAAATACTGTGTAGTAATAAAATGGCATTTAACTGACGAGGTATTTTGCTGGTGAGAGATTTTAGTTGCTTTAGCGTGTAGAAGCCAGTAAGCCTACTATTTCATTTGTTTTAGATACACAACATGTTTCATGTGCAGATTTGATTTCCATGTTAAAATAAACAATTTTAAGTGGTACGCTGAGAAAGAGTCATGTTTTTGGTCATGGAAAATGAGGTAAAGGTCATGGAGAAGTCATGGAAAAGTCGTTGAAAATCATTGGTGAAAAAGTGTATGAACCCTGATTTGAGAAATAAGTGGCACTTGAGAAGGATGTGATGTGTTAAAGTTGATATTCTTTATCTTCCAGAAAAAGCGTGTCCTTTGGGCAGTCCACCTGAGGCAGTGTTGATTGACTCACTGCTTAATGTGGAGCAGTACCGAGGAGCGGATAAAGCCTCTGACTCTGAGAGGAAGCCCGCCAGAGACATAGCTGAAGTGGCTGCTGCTACAGAGCTCATCCTGCCCAAGGGCAGCTTCAGGACCACTTCCACAGTAAGTCACACACATGCACAAACACACCAAAGAAAAAGATGTCCTTTACATTTTGAACTGTTCTTTATTTGACCAGACCCGCAGCCCAGCTCCTTTGCTACTGCATGGGTCACTGCGAGAGTATCAGCAGATTGGTGTGGACTGGCTGGTAAACCTGCACAAGAAAAACCTCAATGGCATCCTTGCAGATGAGACGGGCCTCGGCAAGACCGTACAGACGGTGGCTTACATGGCTCAGTTAGCTGGCCAAGAAGGTATGTCTGTCTGTTAAAGATATACAGCATTTTTCAAGTGATTTCAGTTTTATGTTGTCGGTTTTTTTAAAGGGAATGTCATAAAGACGTGATTTCGTTTTTTGTCAACAGGCATCTGGGGTCCCCACCTTATTGTAGTAAGGACATGCAAGTTGTTAAATTGGGAGGTGGAGTTCAAGCGCTGGTGTCCTGGCCTGAAGATCCTCCTGTACCTCGGCAACAGAAGAGAGCGCAGAAACCAGAGAATGGTAGCTTTTGCTTTACTCAATATAAAAGGCCTTTCTCTTCTCAATAAACTGTAAATGTGATAACTTATCATCTGATCCCTCTACAGTGGTGGGGGGAGGCCAACAGCTTCCATGTATGCGTGACATCCTACAAACTGCTGATGAAAGACCAGAGCCATTTCCTGAGGAGAAAGTGGAGGCACCTGGTCCTGGACGAGGTGCAGCTGATCAAAAGCATGACGGAGAAACACTGGGAAACGATCTTTGCTCTCCGAAGGTACGCAGGGGGATAACCATGATATCAGTTCCAGTTTCTCAAGAACTATGATTATCATTGTTGTGGTCCAGGTAGGGCTGCTCGATTATGGCAGACATCATAATCACGATTATTTTTGGTCAATAATTGATATCACGATTATTAAATACGATTATTCATTGACTTTGAAAACGTCCATTTATTGAACTTTAAAACAAATAATAATTTTAACAGTATCTTTTTAACTGTTGATTACCCTGAACGTATAATTCAACTGAAAAACCAATACTAAAATAAATGATAATAAATAAATACATTTAAATAAATAATATAAAAATATAAATACCAATAAACAAGATCAACAAATACTTTGGAGCACACTTCCACAAGCTACTAAACATATAT